GCTTACATATGGGACCAGAAAGTCCAACAGACAAAAAAGCAAAACAATCCATCAAAACAAAAACACCCACTAAAATAAGAGCATCGTAAAATGCAACGGCGCTCCATGCAGTCATGCTGGCCACATGACCTTGGAGGTGTCTATGGACAACGCCGGCTCTTCGGCTTAGAAATTGAGATGAGGAACAGAGTCCCAGGGTTGGACATGACTGGACTCAATGTTGGGAAAATCTTTACTTAAAAAAAACAACAGCAATCCAAATCAACAGCAATCCAAATCAAACAACAACAACAACTATTTATTTATTTGACCAGTGATATGACCATTTCAAATACAACAGATCAAATAGTTAAACATAAGAGAATAAAACAGCAGCATTGAAGCTCCATCGGTCAATGTCCAACAAAAATCAGAATGAGCAGAATGACTGAAATGGGCATGACCAGTCTATGAAAGGGTCATGCCCGAAAAGTCCCTCTTCGGAGGTGAGAAGGATGGGATATAAATGCTCAAAATACATAAATAAATACCTCTAGGAAGGCCTTCTTCAACATTGGCCTTACTATTGTCATGTCTCTGCTCTGACCCACAGGCATGACCCGCGATGACCTCTTCAACACAAATGCCACCATTGTGGCCAACCTGGCCACGGCCTGTGCCAAGCACTGCCCTGAGGCCATGATCTGCATCATTGCGAACCCGGTAAGCCAAGCCCAGCCTTCCGCAAGGGATTGGGAACAAGTGCCTGGAATTCCTTGCTTAGCTACCTTTTGGGCATAAGTGGGCACATCCTGTGTCTGGCACAAAATGACTAAATGTTCTCCGTTTTGCCTGCATCTATGGCAGGCATCCTCAGAGGTTGAGAGGCCTGAAAATGGGGTTTATGTATCTGTGAAATGATGTCCAGGGTGGGAGAAAGGACTTTTGTCTGTTGGAGGCAAGTGAGAATGTTGCAGTTGGTCACCTTGGTCACTGAATGGACTTGCAGCTTCAAAGCATAGTGTCTAGATCTAGGGAAGTCATGCTACCCATACTCTATTCTGCCTTGGTTAGACCACACCTGGAATATTGTGTCCAATTCTGGGCACCACAATTCAAGAGAGATATTGACAAGCTGGAATGTGTCCAGAGGAGGGCGACTCAAATGATCAAGGAGAACAAGCCCTATGAGAAGCGGCTTAAAGAGCTGGGCATGTTTAGCCTGCAAAAGAGAAGGCTGAGAGGAGATATGATAGCCATGTGAGAGGAAGTCACGGGGAGGAGGGAGCATGCTTGTTTTCTGCTTCTCTGGAGACTAAGACGCGGAACAGTGGCTTCAAACTACAAGAAAGGAGATTCCATCTGAACATTAGGAAGGACTTCCTGACTGTGAGAGCTGTTCAGCAGTGGAACTCTCTGCCTCGGAGTGTGGTGGAGGCTCCTTCTTTGGAAGCTTTTAAACAGAGGCTGGATGGCCATCTGTCAGGGGTGATTTGAATGCAATATTCCTGCTTCTTGGCAGAATGGGGTTGGACTGGATGGCCCATGAGGTCTCTTCCAACTCTTTGATTCTAAGCCTGGCTGCAAGCAGACAAGATGTCTTTCTCCCACCCTGGACATCATACCACAGATATATAAACATCACTTACTTAGTTTCCAACAGACCTCACAACCTCTGAAGATGCAGGCAAAACGTCAGGAGAGAATGCTTCTGGAACATGGCCCGACAGCCCGCAAAACCCACAAAAACCCACAATCTGAGTGGACCGCCTTCTCTTTGCTTTCCAGGTCAATTCCACCATCCCCATTACTTCGGAGGTCTTTAAGAAGCACGGGGTGTACAACCCCAACAGAATCTTTGGGGTCACGACGCTGGACATTGTCCGAGCAAATACTTTTGTGGCAGAACTGAAGGTAGGTTGGAGTCGGTTTGGACATGGGCTGCCTTGGGATGGGGAGGGGGGGGTCCCTTTTGGCAGGAAGAGAAGTCTTGTGAGGGCGAGAGGAAGCCAATGTCCCGAGACGATGAAACCTGGCCTTTGGCCAGTTGCTGGACTTTGCCCTTTTGACTGAAGGTTGACCATAAATAGAAGCGTGGCTTGGACTTCGGCCTTAGGAAGCTCCGGCTCAATGCCAGGTCCTTACAAGAACTGCCCTCCAGTGTATTATTGGCTCTGCTCTTGGACTAATAATACAATATAATATAATGTAATGTAATATATTGTATATACCTATAATATTTATAATATAATGTAATGCAATATAATAGTAATACTGATAATACAATAGTATAATTACTGTATATACTCGAGTATAAGCCTAGTTTGTCAGCCCCTTTTTTAGGCTGAAAAAGCTTATACTCGAGTAATATTACATGTAATATATAATATACAATTATTATATTATATTATATTATAATATTGTATTACATTATAATATTATCAGTATTAGGCGTATATACAATATATTATATTACTAGCCATCCCCTACCATTCGTTGCTGCGACCCAGTCTGTGTATGTGTTTTGTGTGTGTATATATTTGTGTGTATATATTTGTATCTATGAGTATATGTGTGTTTGCATATGTGTGTGGTTTTGTGCATGCTTGTAATGTAATTTTGTTGGCTTTTAAGTCTCTTCTGCTATGTTTTTCAGTGTTTTTATGAATGATGGTCACTTGTTGGCTGAATACGTGCATTGTGTCCAAATGTGGTGTCAATTTGCCCAGTGGTTTTTGAGTTATGTTAATCCCACAAACGAACATTACATTTTTATTTATATAGATTAGCATAGCTCAATATATGTATTGTATATTACTATATTGTAGTATGCCACTATACTACAATATTATTAGTAATATATAATATATAATTAGTATATTGTATTACTATATTGTATTGTTGTTGTTCATTCGTTCAGTCGTCTCCAACTCTTCGTGACTCTTATTACATTATATTATTATCAATATTTTATTTATATATATAATATAGTATACTGTATTATTCGCATAGCACAATATTAGTATTATATATTACTACTATCTGTACCCACCACGTGTTGTCGTGGCCAACCTTCCCTTCCTCTTTTGCTCGTTCTTTCTTTCTCTCCTTCCTTCCCTCCCTTCCTTCTTTCCCATTCTTTCCTTTCTTCTTTCCCTTCTTCTTTCTTCCTTCTCTACCTGTTTCTTTTCTTACTTCCTTTGCTCTTTGGTTCCATCCTTGTCTCCTTCCTTACTTCCCTCTTTCTTTCATTCCTTCTCTCCTTCCTGCCCTCTTTCACTTTGTTATTTCCTTCTCTCCTTCCTTCCTTCTCTACCTTTCTTTCTCTCCTTCTTCCCTCTTTCTCTCCCTCCTTCTTCTCTCTTTCTTTCCTTCTCTTTCCCTCTTTCTCTCCCTCCTTCTCTCCTTCCTTCCTTCCTTCCTCCCTCCCTTCCTTCCTTCCCCCTTCGTGTGTATATGTTTTGCATGTGTATATGCATATATATGTGTGTGTGTTTGTGTATATATATGTGGGTTTGCGCATGCGTTGTAATGTAATTTTGGTGGGGTTTTTTCCGCTTTTTTAAGTCCCTTCTGTTGTGTTTTTCAGTGTTTTTATGAGTGATGGTCACTTGGCCTGATTGTTGTCTTGTGTCCAAATTTGGTGTCTATTCATTCAGTGGTTTAAGAGTTATGTTAATCCCACAAACGAACATTACATTATTTATATAGATATTGTTGCTTGACCCCCTTATAAGCCGAGGGAGGCTTTGTCAGCCCAAAAAAAAGGGCTGAAAAAACTCAAGTTTATATGGTAAATTTAACCCAAAAGTGTAATAGCAACATTGCAACAGTAAGAGAAATAAGACACATGGGAATGAGCAGAATGCAAACAGATAGTGAATGCTACCATTTCTATATATTCACTAGAAATTTGACTCTGTGCTTGAAGGGTGAGATGTCTGTGAGGGTTGGGCTATATGGTGTATCCAATACGTAGCCATTTGTTTTGATTCTTTGTCCTGAAAGGCTCTCCTTCTGTTTGCAGGGCCTGGATCCGGCTCGCGTCAATGTCCCGGTGATCGGTGGGCATGCAGGGAAGACCATCATTCCCTTGATCTCTCAGGTTTGTGTGTGAGTTCAAGGGGCGTCCCATGATTCCGGGGCACAAAAGGGTTGGGAAGTCCAAGAGGAATGAGAAAGAAGCCTTTTCTCATCACTTCCACCCTGATCTTAGAATCATACATTTGGAGGGGACCCCAAGCCCATTCTGCCAAGAAGCAGGGAAATTACCTTCAAAGCACTCCCGACAGATGGCCATCCAGCCTCTGTTTAAAAGCTTCCCAAGAAGGAGCCTCCACCACACTCCGGGGCAGAGAGTTCCACTGCTGAACAGCTCTCACAGTCAGGAAGTTCTTCCTTGTGTTCAGGTGGAATCTCCTTTCTTGTACTTTGAGGCCATTCCTCCATTGCGTCCTATTCTCCAGGACAGCAGAAAGGAAGCCTGCTCCCTCCTCCCTATGACTTCCCCTCACATATTTATACATTGCCCTCATCATATCTCCTCTCAGCCTTCGCTTCTGCAGGGTAAACATGCCCAGCTCTTTCAGCCACTCCTCATAGGGCTTGTTCTCCGGACCCTTGCTCATTTTAGTCGACGCATTCCAGCTTGTCAACATCTCCCTTCAGTTGTGGTGCCCAGAAACACTGCTCTAACCTGTTACGGTTGTTTTGGATCTGGATCCTGTCCTCTGGGGTATTCGCTCTCCCAATTTGGTCCCATCTGCAAATTTGATCCGCATGCTTTCTACCCCATCGTCCAAGTCGTTGATAAAGATGTTGAAGAGCCCTAAAAGGCCCCCGATGTAGCTGAGAATGGCACTGGCTTTTGTCAGTTGCTGTGTCACCCTGGGCTCGGACTCAGCTTGTGGTTTACCAAGACTCTTACATCCGTAGTCACTTCTCTCCAGGAGGAGGAAAGAAGAGCAGCCATTGGCCAGAAGCACCGTTTGGGTTCAACCAGGCGACCCTGTCCCAATCTATTGTGCAGTTGCGTTGTCCAGCCCTCATTGGGTTCATTTTGTCACCCTCTCCTCCTGCTGTTTTCCTGCAGTGTACGCCCAAAGTGGAGTTCCCTCAGGACCAGCTGACGGCCCTCACGGGACGGATCCAGGAGGCCGGCACAGAAGTGGTCAAGGCCAAAGCTGGCGCAGGTGGGTTTGCACGTCCCAAGGAGCCCTGTCTATGCACAGTGTGTGCTGACAGCTTCAACCTTTCCCTGTCTGCAATAATAATAATAATTATTATTATTATTATTATTATGACACAAAAACACTGTATGGCACAGCAAACGAGAGATATATGCTGGATTTTTATTATTATTTCATATTATTGTTATCATTTTATCATGTCCTTGTAAAAGCTTGAGGCAGCCCCACATCAGTCACACAGAATTATTATTATTATTATTATTATTATTATTATTATTATTATTCAGATACAGAAACACAGTATGACACAGCAAACGAGATATATATGCTGGATTTTGTATTATTATTATTATTTCATATTATTATTATTATCATTATTATCATGTCCTTGTAAAAGCTCATGTCACACAGAATTATTATTGTTGTTGTTGTTGTTTTACTGACACAAAAACACAGTATGACACAGCAAACGAGATATATATGCTGAATTTTGTATTATTATTATTTCATATTATTATCATTATTATCATGTCCTTGTAAAAGCTCATGTCCTTGTAAAAGCTCATGTCACACAGAATTATTATTGTTGTTGTTGTTGTTGTTGTTGTTTTACTGACACAAAAACACAGTATGACACAGCAAACGAGATATATATATGCTGGATTTTTTATTATCATTTCATATTATTATTATCATTTTTATCATGTCCTTGTAAAAGTTTGAGCCAGCTCCATATCAGTCACACAGAATAATAATAATAATAATAATAATAATAATAATTATTATTATTATTATTATTATTATTATTATTATTATTATTATTATTATTTTACTGACACAGAAACACAGTATGACACAGCAAACAAGATATATATGCTGGATTTTGTATTATTATTATTATTATTATTATTATTATTTCATATTATTATTATCATCATTATTATCATGTCCTTGTAAAAGCTTGAGCCAGCCCCATATCAGTCACACAGAATTATTATTATTATTATTATTATTATTATTATTACTATTATTATTATTGTTGTTGTTGTTTTACTGACACAAAAACACAGTATGACACAGCAAACAAGATATATATGCTGGATTTTTTAAAATTATTATTTCATATTATTATTATCATTATTATGTCCTTGTAAAAGCTTGAGGCAGCCCCACATCAGTCCCACAGAATAATAATAATAATAATAATAATAATAATAATAATAAAATTATTATTATTATTATTATTTTACTGACACAAAAACACAGTATGGCACAGCAAACGAAATATATATGCTGGACTTTGTATTATTATTATTATTATTTCATATTATTATTATCATCATCATCATCATCATCATCATCATGGCATTGTAAAAGTTTGAGCCAGCCCCACATCAGTCACACAGGATTATTATTATTATTATTATTATTATTATTATTTTACAGACACAAAAACACAGTATGACACAGCAAACGAGATATATATGCTGGACTTTGTATTATTATTATTTCATATTATTATTATCATCATCATCATGTCCTTGTAAAAGTTTGAGCCAGCCCCACATCAGTCACACAGAATTATTATTATTATCATCAACATAATCACAGTATGTCACAGTAAACGAGATATATATTCAGGATTTCGTATTACAAAACCACAAGTCGAACACTTCCCAAGCGTCTAGGGCTGTGTGATGTATTTTCAAATGTTGTGCGCAGATCCAAGTCAGGTGGCCTTTTGCAGTTGACAGATCATGATTTTGTCTATTATTATTATTATTATTATTATTATTATTATTATTATTATTATTATTAGATACACAACAATATTAGTATACAGCAAACAAGATCACTATGCTTTTGTATTCGATCACATGTCAGACACTTCCCAAGTGTCTGAGGCTGTGTGATGTATCAGCGAATTATGTGTGCAGGTCTGAGTCGGGTGGCCTTTTGCAGTTGAGAGATGGTAATCTTGTCAGTGCTGATTGTGTTTAAGTGCAGGCCAAGGTCTTGAGGCACTGCACCCAGTGTGCCCATCACCACGGGGATCACCTTTACTGGCTTGTGCCAGAGTCTTTGCAGGTTACTTCTTCTTGTTGTTGTTGTTGTTAGAAATGCAACAAGATTGGTACACAGCAAACAGAATCACTCTGCTGGCTATTGTATTGGATCACACGTCAGACACTTTGCAAGTGTCTAGGACTGTGCGATGTATCGCCGAATAATGTGTCCTCCTCTGCGCCCACAGGATCGGCCACTCTCTCCATGGCCTACGCCGGAGCCCGCTTCGTCTTCTCCGTCCTAGACGCCATGAACGGGAAGGAAGGGGTCATCGAGTGCTCTTTCATCCGGTCCGAGGAAACGGAGTGCACCTATTTCTCCACGCCACTGCTCCTCGGGGTAAAAGGGCCCAGGCCCATGCTCCAAAGAGTCCTCCGCACACGGTTTATTTAGTCAGCGGGACCATGCTCACCCTGCTTTCTCCCCTTCTGTCTCTTTCCCTCCCCTCGTATCTTTTCCATTTTTCCTTTCCCTCCCTCCTTTCCTCCCTTTTTCTTTCTTCCCCCTCATTGCTTCCCTTTCTTTTCCCTTTCATTCTCTTCTTTTTCTCTCTTCCCTCCCTTCCTGAATATCTTCTTTTTTCTCTTTCTTTCCTTTCCTCCACTCATTCCTTGTTCTTTCTTTTTCCTCCCTCCTTTTCCCCTTCCCACCTTTCGTCCTTCCTTTTTCTTTCCTCCCCTTGCTTCCTTCCCTTTCTTCTCCCTTCTTTTTCTCTCTTCCCTCCCTTTCTGAATCACTTCTTTCTTCTTCCCTTCCTTTTTCTTTCTCTTTCTTTCCTTTCCTCCATCCTTTCTCTTTTCTTTCCCTCCCTCCTTTTCCTCCTTCCCTCCTTTTCCTTCCTTCCCCCCTCCCTTCCCTTCCCTTCTTTTTCTCTCTTCCCTCCCTTCTTGAATCCCTTCTTTCTTGTCTTCCTTTCTTCCTTTCTTTCTTTCTTTCTTTCTTTCTTTCTTTCTTTCCTTTTTCTTTCATCTCCCTTGTCCTCTTTCTTTTCCCTCCCTCCTTTTCTCCTTTCCTTCCTCCTTCCCTTCCTTCTTCCTTCCCTTCTTTCCTTCCCTTTTTCTCCTTCTCTTCCTTCTTTCTTCTCTACTCTTCCTCCTTCCCTTTTTTCTTTTTCCTTCTTTCTCTTCTTTCCTTCCTCCACTCTCTTTCCTCTTTCTTTTCCTCCCTCTTCCTCCTTTTTTCCTTCCTTCCCTTTCTTCTCCCTTCCCTTCTTTTTCCTCTTCCTTCCCTTCCTTCTCTTCTTTCTCTTTCTTTCCTTCCTCCCTCCCTTTCTCTCTTTTTCCCTCCCTCCTTTCCTCCCCCTGCCCTTATTCCTTATTCTTCCCCATTCCTTTCCTTCTTTCTCTCTCTCTTCCTCCTACCTTATCCCTTCTTTCTTCTCTTCCTTATTATTCCCTTCTTTTTCTTTCCTCTCATCATACGTTTTCCCCTTTCCTTTCCCTCACTCCTTTTTTTCCTAGCCCCTTCCTTCTTTTCTTCCTCTTCCTTTCCCTTCTTTTTTCTCTTTCGTTCTTTCCATTTCCCCCTTCCCCAGCTCTGAGATGGGCCTATCTCACAATGTCTCCATGGCAACATGGCTCTCTTGGTGGCCCTTCCCTTCCTTCCTACTTACCAACTGTTAGGAATTCTGGGAGTTGAAGTTCAAAAGACCTGGAGGGCTGAAGTTTGCCCAGGCCTGATATATATAGAGAGGGAGAGGGTCAGAAACTTGGGACACGTGCCTATCTTTGGTATGAAGATTGCACAAAGTAGGTAATGATGCCCCCAACGTGTGCTCATCCTGTTTCTCTTCCCTTTCTCCCTCTCCTCGCCTTCTCCGTTCCAGAAAAACGGCATTGAGAAGAACCTGGGCATCGGCAAGATCTCCCCCTTCGAAGAGAAGATGGTGGCGGAGGCCATTCCGGAGCTGAAGGCCTCCATCAAGAAGGGCGAAGACTTTGCCAAGAGCATGAAGTGAGGCCGCCCCCGCGGGCCGCAAAGCCCCCGTAATTTATTCTAAGGTGCATCATGTCACTGTGAAGGCGTCCGGAGGCGAAGCAAGGGGTTGGCTTTGCCCACCTCGGAAACAAAACGAAAAGGCCTTAGCGTTCCCCGCCCTGTGATCTCTCGATTGGAATTACTCTCCTCAATTAAAAGCCTCTCTTATTTTTTCCAGGGGACTGATGTGGTGGTCATAGCGTACGTATGTCTCGGTCAAGGCTGAGAGAAGGGGACACAGGAGCCATGTTGGAATATTGGGAAGGAGGTCCCATGGAGGGGGAGGAAGGGAGCCAGGCTCGTTTTCTGGAAATCGGGACACAGTGGAGCCTTGGAAACATATTCCACCTCAATGTGAGGCAGAACCTCCAGATGGTATACACTGTGGAGCCTGGGGGAGTCTCCTCTGGAGGTTTTTAAACAGGCTGCATGGCCATCTGTCAGGAAGGATTGGATTGTGTCTTCCTTTAAGGCAGAATGGGGTTGGATTGGATGAGCCTTGGGAGCCCCTTCCAAACCTATGAATCAGTGTTTCAGAAGGGTGGATCCAGCTGATTCACAGTAGGATTGGGGACATTGCTTGGGGGAGACCCCAACAGGCCAGGTCTAGGAGTGAAGAAGGTTATGGGGCTTGGGAGACCGTAAAGGGCTGAAGTCCAACATAACAACAAAGTATGTCGTCCATTCTTTCCACCCTTCTCTCTCTCGCTGCTTTTGGATTGTACCAAAAAGCATAAGGTGGCCCACTAACCTAGAATGTCTGGCTACTCTAATAATAATAATAATGATAATAATCTTTATTTATACCCCGCCACCATCTCCCCAACGGAGACTCGGAGTGGCTTACATGGGGCCAAGCCCCGGGCAACATATTACAGCAAAAATAAAACCAAAACATAAGCAACAAGCAACAGCGTCAAATTACAATATACAAAAAACAAACAAAACATATGAATGCAGTAACAAAATAACTTATTATTTATTTATTTATTTATTTATTTCGCGCATTTCTACCCCGCCCTTCTCAACTCCCAAGGGGGGACTCAGGGCGGCTTACAAAAGGCACAGTTCAATGCCAACACAAACAATAAGACAAAAACATATATAAACAGCAATTAAAAACAATTAAAACAACCAATCAATTATACATCATAATCAATAAAAGCAATCTAATGCTCAACTAAATGAATTCAAGTCTTCAGTAGAGTTTTGCTCATCCGACCGTTGCTTATCCGACATTCCGTCTTATCCGACGCCCCTTTTTCCTCCAGGATTTCCCCTTCAATTAAAGGAGCGGTCCCCAACTCTCTCTCCATTCCCAATAAGTGAAAAAGGCAAGACATGGAGGAGGAGGAGAGAGGAGGAAAGGGGGAAAAGAGGCAGGACCAGAAGCAGAAACATCCTTTTTCCTTCCCTCTCTGATTTCCACACTCCTCTTTCACATCCAGGCGCTTCCTGCTGGGCCCTCTAGCCCGGGGCATTGCCTTACCTTAATTCTTTGGGTCCCTGTTGTTAGTATTCTAGGTATCTAGCGCCGCATCAGACGGGTAACGGTAGGAGACTCTGTATTATCCGACATTCCACCTTACCCGATGCTTCTCTTTTCCTCCAGCATTTCCCCTTCAGTTAAAGGAGAGCTCCCCAACACTTTCCATTCCCAATAAGTGAAAAAAAGTCAAGACACGGAGGAGCAGGAGAGAGGAAAGGGGGGGAAAGAAACATCCTCCTTCCTTCCCTTTATGATTTCCATACTCCTCTTCCGCATCCGGGCACTTCCTGCTGGGTCCATCAAGCCCTGGGGCGATGCCTTGCCTTAACTCTTTGAGTCCCTGTTGTTAGTATTCGAGGTGTCTAGCACCGCATCAGACGGGTAACAGTAGGAGACTCCATATTATCCAACATTTTCATTTATCTGACATTCCGCCTTACCCGACGCTTCTCTTTTCCTCCAGCATTTCCCCTTCAATTAAAGGTGCGCTCCCCAACTCTTTCTCCATCTCCAATAAGTGAAAAAGGCAACATGGAGGAGGAGGAGAGAGGAGGAAAGGGGGAAAGAGGCAGGACCAGAAGCAGAAACATCTTCCTTCCCTTTATGATTTCCACACTCTTCTGCATCCGGGCACTTCCTGCTGGGCCCCTCTAGCCCTGGGGCGTTGCCTTGCCTTAACTCTTTGAGTCCCTGTTATTAGTATTCTAGGTGTCTAGCGCCGTGTTAGATGGGTGACAGTAGACTCCGTATTATCCGACATTTTCGTTTATCTGACATTCTGTCTTATCTGACGTTTCCCTTTTCCTCCAGCATTTCCCCTTCAATTAAAGGAGCACATTTCCCCAACTCTCTCTCCATTCCCAATAAGTGAAAAAGGCAAGACATGGAGGAGGAGGAGGAGGAGGAAAGGGGGAAAAGAGGCAGGACCGGAAGCCGAAGCATCCTCCCTCCTTCCCTCTGTGATTTCCACGCTCCTCTTCTGCATCCTGGCACTTTCTGCTGGGTCCATCAAGCCCCGGGGTGATGCCTTGCCTTAACTTTGAGTCCCTGTTGTTGGTATTCTAGGTATCTAGTGTCGCATTGGACGGTTACAGTAGGAGACTCCATATTATCCAATGTTTTCATTTATCCAACACTCCTTCTTATCCGACACTTCCCTTTTGCTCCAGCGTTTCCCCTTCACTTAAAGGAGAACTCCCCAACTTTCTCTCCATTCCCAATAACTGAAAAAAGGAAAGAGAAGGAGGAGGAAAGGGGGGAAAGAGGCAGGATCAGAAGCGGAAGCATCCTTTGTCCTTCCTTTTATGATTTCCCCTCTCTTCTGGATCCAGGCACTTCCTGCTGGATCCATCAGGCTCCGGGGCATTGCCTTGCCTCAACTATTTGAGTCCAGTTGTTAGTATTCTGGGTATCTAGCGTCGCATCAGACAGGTAACAGAAGACACCCTATTATCCGCCATTTTCATTTATCCGACATTCTACCAGCCTGTTTATGTCGGATAAGCGAGATCCAAGAGTATTGAAGGAACGAGCAGAAGTAATTTCAGAACCATTTTTAGAACTACCTCTGAGGATGCTTGCCATAGATGGAGGTGAAACGTCAGGAGAGAATGCCTTTAGAACATGGCCATATAGCCCGAAAAAAACCTACAACAACCCATTTGAGAATTCTTGGAGAACGGGAGAAGTCCCATCAGACTGGAGGAAGGCAAGTGTGGTCCCAATCTTCAGAGGGGACCCAAACAATGACCAATGTCCAATTAGCTTGACATCAAGACCAGAAAAGACCCTGGAGCAGATCTTGAAGGAGGTCGTCTGCAATCCCTTAGGAAGGAATGCTGTGGTTACTCAAAGTCAACATGGATTTTGGGAAAACACAAGTCATGCCAGGCTCATCTCTTGTTTCGATAGAGTTACAAGCTTGGTAGATGCAGGGAATGCCATGGATGGAGCAGATCTTGATTTCAGGAAGGCCTTCAACAAAATCCCCCATGACCTTGCAAACCAACTAGTCAACTGTGGGCAAGGCAATTCTACTATGACATTTGTGGAGTCTCCAGATATCATTGCAGATGTAATTGTCACCTTTATCTTATCAAACATGGAGCTGGAATGGTTCAAAGGTTATCTGCTGTGACGTTTGTATTCGGCAGGCCAACGTCTCTTGCTTTGTATACATTTCCAGATTAATTCCTTTACGGACCAAGAGATGGAGCCAGTGGGCTTCTTCTCCATTCTTTTCCATCTCCTGACCACTCCCAAGGAATAGATAAGAAATCTTGTGTGTGTGTGTGTGTGTGTATACGTATCTATAAATATATATACACACAAACATATATACAAACACACACACACACACATACATAGATACACACACACAAAAACACATATAACAACTATATACATACACATATATAACAGCTATATATACAAACAACACAACTATATACACATATAACACAACTATATACACACACATACTTATACATATAACAGCTATATGTGTGTGTGTGTATATATTAGTTTTATACCCTGCCCTCTCTCCCTCCTTGAGGGATTCAGAGTGGCTAACATTTGGCAGCAACTTGATGCCATACACACACACACACACACACACACATATATACATATAAAATATATACTCACATATACATGCACATATATATACACACACAAAACACATATAACTATATATACACACACATATATATAACAGCTATACGTACAAACCACAACTATAGACACACATAACACAACTATATATATACACATATATAACAGCTATATTTGTGTGTATATAATATACATGCGTATATATATGCAAACATAACTATACACACATATGTAACACAGCTATATATACAAACACATATATACACACAAATACTTTATATGTATATATATATAACAGCTATGTTTGTGTGTATATATTAGTTTTATATCCTGCCCTCTCACACAGCTATATATACAAACATATAACACAACTATATATACACAGACATACTTATATATATAACAGCTATATGTGTGTGTGTATATATTAGTTTTATATCCTGCCCTCTCTCCCTCCTTGAGGGATTCAGAGTAGCTAACATTTGGCAGCAACTTGATGCCATACACACACATATATACACACACATATATACACACACACACACACATAACTATATATATATATATATATACACACACACACACACACACACAACTCTAGGGTTCTATGATATGGATTTTCAACAGGCTGGATGGCCATCTGTGGGGAAGGATTGGATTGTGCCTTCTTTCTTGGCAGAAGGGGCTTGGGCTGAAGGGCCCTGGGGGTCTATTCCACTCTAGAATTTTAATACGTACATACAAACATGGATAAAGGTTTCTCCTTCATGTTAAGTCTAGTTGTGCCTGACTCGGGGGTTAGTGCTCATCTCTGTTTCTAAGCTGAAGAGCCGGCATTGTCTGTAGACACCTCCAATGTCATGTGGCCAGCATGACTGCATGGAGCGCCATTACCTTCCTGCATAAGTGGTTCCTATTGATTTACCCACATTTTCATGTTCTCAAACTGCTAGGTTGGCAGAAGCTGGGGCTAACAGCAGGAGCTCACCCTCCGCCCCGGATTCAAACTGCCAACCTTTCAGTCAGCAAGTTCAGCAGCTCAGCAGTTTAACCCACTGCGCCACTGGCTACTAGCGAATC